CCCAGGCCCCCTCCCGCTCCTGACCCACCCACCTGTACGTGACGCCCTTGGGTCTGTCCCCGAACACCAGCGGAGCCCCCGTCGCGAAGGCCGCGATGTAAGCCAGCTGCTCGCCGTTGTAGCTGCAGCGAACCTGAGGGGGGTCACCCCGTCGGGCGACCGTTCGTGTGTGGCGGGAAAATCAGCAGGTACCCTCTTAACTCCCCACCACCAAACACACATAGCGGAAGGCACTCACAGGAGGCACGCATACATACATACATACATACATACATACATACATACATATATACGTACATACATACGTAGTTGCCAATTTTCCGCTCTTTACAGCTCCTTGCATATGCCGTCTCCCCCGCCCTCCTTCTCGGCCCCGAGGCCCCCCAGGCACAACCAGCGCTCGGCTGGGAATATGAAAGCCGCCAGGCACCGTGTCAGTAACCATGTACAGCAACACACTTGCCGTACACCCGTACAACCAGCCTCCCATACGCCCCGTACCTGGTTCCAGAGCGGCGACTCGGTAAAGTCGCCGTCCTTAAACTCCTGCAGCGTCACACCAATCTGCAGGTGTAGAGGGGCAGGGAGGAGGGTGGCGACGTAGGAATACGCCCTTCGTGAGCCCTGAGCCCACCTGCCGCTGCCTGCAACCTGTGTCGCCTCCCCTCGTTCTTTGCCATCTCCACCTCTTCCCACCACTGCCACTCATCCGCACGTCTGACAACATATCCGTGTGGTGGCCACCCATACACACACAGTTTGTCCCCTCGCAGCAACCCCTCTCTCCCCTCCCTACGCCCTCCCCTTCCCCCCCCTTCCACCTCCCCCCCCCTCCCCTCCACCTCCACCCCCCCCTTCCCCTCCACCTCCCCTCCCCTCCACCTCCCCTCCCCCCCCACCTCCCCTCCCCTTCCCCCTCCCCCTCCACCTGGCAGAACATTCTGAGGTAGAAGGCCGCAGTGGGGTCCGCCACCCGGTCCCCGCAGCGAATGACGTTGCCCGTCTGGGCGCCGTGCTCTGGACCCATGGACGTCTCCACAACCACCGCCTGGGGCCGGTGCCGGATTATCCACTCGCCTGTGAGGGGAGGGGTAGGGAGGGGAGGAGAGGGAGAGGGCCGGGGAGGGGACCCGGGGAGGGGGCGGGCTCAGAGCAAGCGCGCAGGGAGATCCCCCGACCTACAACATCAGCATCATGGGAGGTCATCCGCCTATGATGGCCCATCTATGATCGCCGTTGTGTTTCCTGACCGAACAGCAGAGCAACGTAGTGAGGGAGATTGTGCACCAGCCATGCTGGCGGCCACTTGGGATACACCCGGATGCGGCGGCGGGCGGGCCCCACAAGCAGCGACACGGCCACTGCTATGAAGGGGCCCCATGGCCCTTACCCCCCTCCCTTCACGCCGATCACCCTGGCAATGTGTCCGCCCAACGTCATTATCCCCCATCCGCCGATATGGCCCCCCCGGCAATATGAAGTGCCCTGCATCCTCGGGGCCCCACCAATGTGCGGTTGGGGCTCCAGGTGCTCCACTCCAAACACGTGAATGGCGGTGCCCGTCTCCGGGCAGTGCAACGTGAAATCAGGGCCGCTGGAGGACTGACGACGGGGGTCCGGGCTGATGGTGGCTAAGGGCTCGGCGGCCGGCACGGAACGGCAGAGGACCGGGCGGTTAAGCTTGGAATCTGACCACGATGATATGCACTTTCGAGGTGCGGCAGGTTGCGCGATGGTTGCAAGCGGGGAAGCGCCTGGCAAAGGGTAAGGTAGAGGAACGCGCAGCACGGATGGAATGATGACTGTCACAGGAAGGTGGAACGCAAAGACTTCATTAGGACATCTTTCTTACCGGTGTAAAACGCAGGTCCCAATTGGCTTGGACAAGCAAAACTATAAGCGATGATTGCTCGGTCATGGCCGTTGGTGCGCATGCGGCTGCGCCCTAAAGCTGTTTGCCGCGCGCAGCTCGTCATTTGTCAAACTTATAGCTGATAATGCGTAACCTTCAATCCACAAGCCCCAACGCAAGCAAAGGAAACAACTGAAAGGAGTCGGCTTACTGATACACCTAAAATCCCATCATCTCAGACTGTTTGTCTACTGCCAAGATGAAGCTGGTTTGGTCAAGTTTACATTGAGGCACAATTGTAGCAGAAATCTTCACGAGAGAAATTGATTTTATAAAACTGATTGAGCTTCACGATATAGGATCCGCATATCAAGCTTTTTCCGCCTGATCGTTCCAGAACATAAGATACATATGGGGCGATGCTCTGGCAAGGCCATTTCACCGAACCAACTATCGCCCTCGGAAGCACGGCTCCCTGTACAATGACTCCCGCATTGCCGCTGTACACCTGAGCGCTGTAAAACGGAGCTACAGTAATTGGCATTCATAGCAGCTGTACCTGAAGGCACAGCAGGCACTCCCGTAGTGCGCGCTCGGCATTCAACGCCATCGAACCAGTTACTGCTGGGAATAATTTGTATGCGAAGATGCGGACTCTCGTTGGAAACGCAACGCTCTGCCAACCTGCCCTTTCGATGTTCAATCAGAGAAGGCCCTGCTCAGGGCGCTCATGAACCCCGTTCTGGTGAACCAACATGGGTGCACTCTGTCCCCCTCACAGGGTCCTCAAATAAAACCGACCCAGCAGCGCCATTCCACCGACACCCACATGTAAACCTCCAGCGCCAAAGCCCGGCAATCAAAACTGTCCAGATTGGTCAGGTGGACCCCGCGGAGGGGAGCCACTCGATCCGCACCCCGCTGTTGTACTGTCCCTCTCCTCCATGCATACGTACATACAGCCACACAAAAATAGACACAGAGATTCCTGACCCGGCCGTCAAAATTGGCAAAGAGCCGGCGCGCTGGCAGGCCAGGTACTTAGGCCGGGGCCCCGTTGCGCAACAAAATTGTCCGGGGGAGCTCCCCCGGCACATACACACACATACATACATACACACACATACATACACACACTACAGGGCACCTACCAGAGAGTCCCCTCCTTGCCGATTGCACCTTACTTTGGCACCACTGGCATCTCTTGCACTACGTCACCACATAGTACGATGTTTCGACATGTAGTACAGCATTCCCAATTCCGTACAAATGCAAAACACCCACCGTCAGAGTACCGCTTCGCCTACCGGACTCACCCGACTGCAATGGAGGTCCTATACACTCCCAAGCGGCGCAATCCCGGCAGCAACACGCACAGGACCGGACGCCGCAGGCCTCCCTCCCCCATATGCCATCAGCCGCCTCAGCCAGCCTGCGTACCCGGGGCCCCTGGAGCCCACCGCAGACAGTGGCGACTGCTCCCCCTCAACCCGGAGGCCTCCATTCCCTTCCGTCCCCTCCTCCAAACACACACACACACTCTCTCCGAGAAACCCCTCCTCTCCCCACGCGCTTCCTCACTCCTGCTGCCGCGCCTTGAGTCCCGGCATGAGCGGCGGCAACACGTCCTTCTTGTCCTTCCCGGTGCGCCCCGCGCCGCTGCCGTCGCACACCAGCGCCACATCCATGCCGGCCTCCGTCTTGGCGAGGGCGGCCACAATGCCGGGTCCGAAGAAGGACTGGATCTTGGGCCGGAAGACCTCCCACTTGTCCGTATCAAGACTGCTGGAGAACTCGAGCACCAGCGTGTAGGCGCCCTCCTCGCTCACCTCCTCGCGAATGCCTACCGCCAAAACCACATTATTACCACATTAATACACAAGGTCGGGTCAGGGAGGAGCAAGTAGAGTACAAGAACCGGGGGGAGTGGAGAAGTAGGGGCCGCTGGCGGATTGCTAAGCGAGCAGCACACGCACGTACATGCCTCCTCCTACAGACGCAGATCTGCTGTGTTGGAGTGCACCCCAGCATGGGGAAGGGTGCAGGGAAGCCAACAAATGATCCGACCCCCCAATGGTGGAGCCCATTCCTCCTTTGATTCCCCCCCATATACACACACGGACACACAGACAGACGTACCCGTGAGCACCGGCAGCAGCTTGCGTGCGATACCCCCCGGGCGGTTGGGTTTGAAGATGCGGTCCAGCGCCTCCTCCAGGTGCTGCTCGTCTCCGTACCTGAAGCGGGTCACGTCCTCGCGGATCTGCTTCTGGATGTCTGTCATCTGGCTGTCCCGCAGCGCAAAGGCCTCCTTCGTGGTCTTGCAGGGAACAGGGCGGAGCTGCAGGGGGGGCAGGGGGAGAGGCGCGGCGGGCGGGGCGGGGCGGGGGTGAGAGGAGGGATGAAGGAGTAAAGCGGGAGGACGCGGTCTGAGGGGGCGAGAAGTGAATTACTGACCGATAGGGACTCCTGGAAGCACAAGGCCTTGGCCTGACCCCCCCCCCCCCGTGATAACCTGCTGCTGTTACCACTTGTAACCAACATCTCGCCCCTTCCCCAGCTCCCCTCCCTTTGAGCTCGGGATTCCCGGTCCAATACGCCAATAACGGCTCTGGCTCCGGCAAAAAGCTCAGATAGCGTTCCTTAACCACAACGAGGATGCCGCGGTATGCATCCGACCCGGCGCTGCAGTCCGGCCGAACACCACCTCCAGGTGCCGCACCTGCGCATAGCTAAGCGCGAATCCCAGTAAGCTGATCGGGAAGCCGTAGATCAGGAAAAGAGACGAAAGGTCAGCTCCCGGAAGGAGCGTCGTGTAGGCGCCGAAGCCCCAGACGAGCAGGCCGAGGCCGATGGGTGTCAGGATGGAGCCGAATGACACCTTGGAGATATTGAACTCGTTGTCGTCCACATACTCCACTGGAGACTTAGAAGCTGGCTTAGATGGAGCTTGGGGCTCCGCGGACGCACTTATGGAGACAGCGCTACGCCTGCGTAATTGCAGGTCGTCCACACGAAAGAGCATCGCTCTGTCAAGCAAACGATTCACCTTACAGACTTCCTACGAATAAAACTTATAGAAAACATGACGTAACAGCAGAGGGTGGCATTCGCACCTTTGGCACCGCGGCAGGCAAGGAGCAAGCTTGTGGACCGGCGTCGAGCGACGCACGGTGCAGAGGGTGCCGCAAGGAACGCGCAACATCTTGCTAATGACAATGAAATATGTTTATCAGACTCTTGAGGTCCTTAGAGCAAGGCCGGAACATGCAAAAAATCCATGCGCTGGCGCCGAAACCAAGAGTCTCAAAAATTACCCTGCGACTCACCGCAACGATGCACGCATAGCTGCTTGATAACGACAAACTTTTGTGCACGTAATTAAATGACAATCCACGAATAGCTACGCAAGGGGCAAGGGCCTTTCGACATCCCTGGGTGATCACTAGGTCAGGTCCCTTCGGTAGAGTGGTGCATCGCACAGTGTACTGCGTCCTGCTCGAGATGAATGCCGCCAACCAGGTGTGCCAATCCCATGCCTTTGTTTAACGTCAGCTGGTCTCTGTCATGTCCTGCAACAGCTTGCCGAACGACCCAAGGCACCTCCCAGCAACGCCGCCCAGTACTTACAATGCGGATTCGGAACGATTGGGAATGCCTCGATGCAGGACGGCGCTACGAACGAACCCAGCGCTTCCGGACATGACGTCAATTGCTTGCAGCTGCAACTGCACACGGACGAGGCTGTTTGGATGCGCCAAATCGGCCACCTAAAGGATTGGTGCTCAAAGACCCGCAGCGTCAAAGTTGGAATCCCGGCACGTGTCGCCGCACCGTTGGCAGCCAGCAGCCTCAGGTTGCTGTGGCTTTTTCCAAACCTGCAGCACCTGGACATCACTTTCAATAGCACCCACAGCCGCATGGATCAGTCCGTGGTGGTGGCCTGTGCGGAGCTGCTGGTACGTGGGACCTAGGGACGGGAGAAGATGGGACTGGGCCCTACTGTACCCGTCCTGTCAAATGGGATAGTCCCCACCCCTCCCACATCCACACCCACTTTAAATACCTGCTTTCGCCCACTTCCCCCCTTCATCAACTCATATCCACGCCTCGGTCTTCCCCCTCCTGCAACCCCTGTCCATAACCTTGTCCCTCCAGAACCTGACCAGTCTTCAGCTTTCAGGCGGCCACCTGGCTCGCAGTGGTCTCGACCTGGGTGTGCTGACGAGCCTGTGGCGGCTGCGGACTCTGGCGGTGCGGCCCCACAGCGACGAGGAGCTGGATGGGCTGGAGGACGAGCACCTGGCGGGGGTGGCCCGACTGAAGGGTCTCACCAGCCTCAGCCTGAGGGCCTCAGAGAACGTCACCGATGAGGGCATGGGAGCGCTCACGGCGCTGACGGGTGAGTGGGTGGGTGGTAGGGGTGTGGGAAGGGCAGGAGTGGAGGAGGGGGATGAGCGCGGTGAGAGGGGAAAAGGGAGGAAGGAAGGAAGGAAGGAGTACGATACGTGGGGTTGGGGTTGCGGCTGATGGGGAGGAGGGAGGGGGGAAGGGTCTGGAGGCAGGGGCGCTATGATAGCGATGATTGCACCTGTGATGGCAGTTGCAGTCTTTGCTGCAGTAGTTGGATAAGAAGCGGCGACGACCCTGGTAAATGCAAGTGGTTGGCTGTACGTGTAATCATCACATACACAGAGAGGGTGTGTCGTTGATGGGTGCCTTAATGGACTTCGCAGTCGTTGCTGCGCCTGCCCGAGAAAGAGAGACTTGCCTGCGCCCCACGGCGCCCTTCGCCCCACTCCCTACTCGCCCCGTCGTCCTCTCCTGCCGCTAGTCATCTCCCACACAGCCATCACCTTTTCGTCGTCATCGATGTAATCCAATTCACCCTCGGCTTCAATCCCAATAACTCGGGGGCTTCCTCCTGCCCCCCTGGCCCCCCGCTCCCCCACAGGTCTTCGGCACCTGAGTCTGGTGCCCCTAGGTCTGTGGGTCACTCGCGAGGCCATTGCTGCCCTGTCCGCCGCCATGCCCGCACTGGACCACATATCCGTCGGACTGCACGAGTCAAGGCAGGTGGCCGTTCTGAAGGGACTGCAGGAGAGGACACCGGCCAGCAGACCCCAGCAGCAGCAGCAGCCGCAGCACGAGGAGGCAGCGGGGCCGGCCGCCGCGTCTGCGCCCGCCATTTCGTTGGTTTTGAATTCGCCCGAAGTGTCGACCAGCAGCTTCTTCTCCACACTCACGCTGGTGTTGCGGCCTGCGCTGGTTAGCTTGCGTATGGCTACCGTAGAGAGTACGGACTCGTCCTTTCTGTTGGCGGTTGGCACACTGGTGCACCTGACGGAGCTCAAGATGGGGGTAAGGGGGGGGGAGGGAGAGCAGGAAGGGACTATGGGAACTACTTACAACTGGTATCCCTGCCGATGGAGGGGGACGAGGAGGAGGGGGGGCTCAGGGCGGTAGGGGGACGAGCCTGAAGGTGGGCCGCCACAGTGACCTGTCTACTAGGGGAGGACTGGGTTGACAGGGACATCTGGATCCCCACCACCCCCCGCATCACCTCACTTAAACCGAGCGAGGTTGTTGTGCTGAGGGAGGGTGGAGAGGTGGATCAGCTGAATGGATAGATGGATGGGTATGTGGGTGGGAGCTTCTCGGGACGGTGGGGAGGGGCGGTATCCGTCCTCTCTGTCCTCATGTTCCGGTTCATGGGTGATCCACCTGCCTGTGTACCCCACCTTTCCAATTCCCTCCCCGTCCTCTCCTGGCAGCGAGGAGGGCCCCGACCTAGCTTGCGGTGTTTCGTAATGTTAATCCATGTTCAAGTTGGAGGACATGAAGCCTTTCCCCCCCTGCCTTCCCCCCCACTACACAACCCGCCCCCACCATTCCCCACTCCAGGTGAGTCTTGTCCCGGAGGGCGGTCAGCCCTTCACGTGCAACCTGGCGGCCCTGTCCACCCTGAACCGGCTGCACACTCTGGAGTTCGCGGTGACGCAGGAGCTGGGGCTGCCGCTGTCAGTTAAGATGGTCAGGTGGGTGATAAGGCGGGTAGGGGCCGGGCGGTGCCTGCGGATGGATTAGAAAGGGCGATGGCGCATGTGCGTGCGGCTGCTGCCTCCGGTATCGTTCCATCCATGAAGCTAACAGGTGGCGGCTGCAGGTGGCGGTAACAATCCCTGTGTGTGTTTAAATGAATTCCAAGGTACGATGCGAAAATGTATTCAGGACACGGAATAATCATCATAATGTTGTCCCCCCCCTCTCCCCTCTCTGCCTCCCCTCCCCTCCCCTGCCCTCCCGTCCCCTGCCCTGCCTCCCCCTGTCGAGGGCAGCCTGCTGGCCCTGAGCTGGCCGCGCCTGCGCAGTCTGAGCCTCAGTGCGATGACCAAGCCCGAGGTTGCGCCCGAGGCACTGGGGCTTCTGGACAACTTTAGCCACCTCACGTCGCTGTCGCTGTTCGCGCCGCTGGACTACGGCGGGTGCGGGAGTAGGGAGGGGGCGGGGAGGGGGGGGAAAGGGGTTCGGTGGAGGGCCACTCGCAGTTGGGCGTGTCCTACACGGAAAGGTGACGGCCTAGCCCACCCTGAAAGCCATAAGGGTCCGGGAAGGGGGCGGGGGGATCGTCTTCCCTGGGCCTTCAGTTTTAGTGAATTTCGCCGCGCAATGGCACCTCCTCACCCCCTCCTCCTGCCCTTCCCCCTGCCTTCGAAGGGACGAGGAGGACCCGTCCTCCATCAACCTCCCCGTCAACCTCCGCTACCTGCCCCGGGGTCTCAAGCACTTGGTGCTCGAGTGTGCGAACCTGTGTGCGGACACAACCCGGCCCCACAGAGGAGGAGCACGAGGAGGGGGCGGCCCATCAGGTGCAGCGCCATCGCCACCGCAACAGCAGGCCCCGTCTACCGGCCACGACCCGAGGCAGAACGGAGGGGGAACGAGCACGGAGCCGCCGCCGGCCTCTCCCTCGCCAGCACGCAGCTCTCTCAGCGAGGCCGCTGCAGGGCCGGTGGGCGACTGCGCCAGTAGCGGCCCCGGTGTTGACGTGGGAGTAGCCGCTAGTGCGTCTCTGCTGCCCCACCTGGAGCAGCTGGAGCTCAACAGCTGCCGGGTGGCGGAGGATCGCCATCTGGCCCAGCTGCTGGGAAGTGCCAAAGGTGGGGACCGGAGGGGGACTGAAGAGGGGAAGGGGGTACGAACGGAGGGCGGCAGCAGCACCTCTCGCCGCTCCCTTCCTTTGCTCCCACGGGGCTGCACCACTGCTGTCTTTCTCCGCCGGGTCTTCCCTGCACCCAAGTCTAAACCCGCTTACCTTGTGTTTCACCATACGTATCCACGCTTCGCCCCATCATTCCCTCTCCCCACGCTCCCAACCTGCCGCCGCCCCCACCCCCATCCCAATTGAGGTGATCAGGCCGCTTAGTTTATTTTCATTGCCACCAACTTAAGGTTTGTTCATCGCATTTTCCCCCTTTTTCCATCTCATCCCTCCCCCTCCCTCCCCCTCCCTCCCCCTGCCGCCCCCTCCCTCCCCCTCCCTCCCTCCCCCTCCCTCCCCCTCCCTCCCTCCCCCTCCCTCCCCCTCCCTCCCCCTCCCTGGTGGTGTTCAGGCCTGCGCCACCTGGAGCTGACTGACGTCCGGGGCCTCACCGACACCTCCCTCTCCGCCCTCAGCGGCCTGACCCGCCTCGAGCACATGGTCGTACGAATCGCCACTGCGGCGCCATCACCCTCAACCTCATCACCACCAACAGGAGCAACAAGAACGTCCATGTGGGGAGCAGCGCCGGGACGGACAACATTAGCATCAGGGACAACACCATCAACGGCCGCTGCTGCTACTGCAGCCGCGGAGTCCACCACGCCCAGTAGTGGGGGTAGGGGTGGTGGCTGTGGGGGTGTCAGTCACCGCAGCCTCCTAGCTCTGCGCCACACCAGCACATTGCGGCACCTGGAGTGGAGTCTAACGGAGCCGCTAGGAGTGGCGGAGGCGGAGGCGCTGCTGGCAGCCTCGGGGGGCGGACTACTGGCGGCACTGGGGGGCCTGCAGGAGCTGTACCTGGATGTGGTTCCGGAGCTCAAGGGGACAGGGGGTAAGACGGCCCACGGTGGTGCTGGTGGCGCCGGAGCCGGCGCGGCTGCGGGGGGGGTTGGCGGAAGTGGAAGTGGAAGTGGTAGTAGTAGTAGTAGTTGGCGGGAGCGGTTGCAGCAGGCGCTGCCCTTGTGTACGGTGGCAGAGCGGCCGGGGATTGTGCTGTACGACCTGTGGAATGACCGTACGGTTCAGGTGGTGGGTCCGTAGACGTTGGTTCTCCCTGGGACCGATGTCCCAGGGCTGCTTGTGCTGGAGCACTGACGCGGCAGGAACGCCTTCATCATGCGGTAATCGCTTGTTCACTCCTTTGCATTGCCGGCATTGTATTGGATTATAAATAATGTGATGGCGTGTCCATGTCCATATCCATATGGCTTGCCGCGGGAGATGGATATGATGGATGCCATTGATGTGTGGATGAGGTGAAGGCACATCGCTGAGGTCCGTCGGTGTTTCGATGCACATACGGTTGCAGGGTGGGGGCGAGTTACGTTACACGTGCGCCGGGGTTGCATGTATAGGGGTGGGTGACCATATATAGTGGAATGCTGGGAGGCCCTTGCTTAGTCGGCGGGGTAAGGTTGTATGTTGTTTTCGCGACCAGCGGTGCAAGGCAGGCAGGCAGGCAGCTGATGGGCGCAATACCAATGATGCAGGGTTGTCGCAGCGATGTAGAGGGTCCGTCTACTCGTGTTCCTACGATACCCCTCGCCTCGCGTGTCTACATCCCGACCTTCACGTCCAGACCTTCTCTGCATCTCATTGTAGCCCGCATCTGACAACGCCGCTAGCAGCGCTTAGCCGCAGTTGCAGCCAGAACCGAACCGAAGCGAATCGAACTAAGGATGGGATTGCGGCTCTAAGGCGGACACATACAGATCAGAACAGTCGCCGGTAGGAGCACACACGTGGCAGCTGATGTGGCAACGAAGGTGCACCACAACTCCTTATCTTGTCCATATATTCAGCTTTGCTGTTGCCTGTGGGCCGCACATTCGCGGATATACAAACGGCTGACACGACATACGTACAAAGGGCCATCCATACATGTTGACATGACAAGTTACAGTTTGGACATAACTATTTATATACGTATATGTGCATGTGTATATATAGACATGTACATATATGTATACAAATAGTACATATAAGGGTATACATATAGGGTGGATGCGACCCACGTCGATGGGCGGTGAAGAACTGCGCCGTAGTGTCCTGCGAGCTGGCCGGGAGCGGAGTTGTTGCCGCCGTTGAGTGCCTCGAAGTACTGGGGAAAGGTGAGCGTTGCCTGGTGTTAGTAGCGACGGGTGATCTCCCCGTCCCACACATCATATAGCTAGTCGTACAGTCATACATACACACACGTACAGGATACCTAGGCAGCCGCACATAGTCATAAAACGAGGACGTAGTAATGCATAGAACAATTCAAGACTTACGTCAGACAAATGTGCGTCAGTCAAAAGAAGCACGTCCAACCATAATGGTACAATTTTAGTTCGTACACACGTGGTTCGTTTCGTAACCAGTGACAATCTTAAGTAACCATGCGGCACCCTACCTACTCTACAGATTGGACATAATACTGATTTATAAAATAAATCTAATAAATCTAGATGAGATTCAGGTTATCCTTTCCTTTTGCCAATTGCCGATCGACAGCACTACCCGGTTGTACAGTACTGACAGGTGGTCCCAGCAGCTTGCGCGTCATCCCTGGAAATCCCACTTCGCGTTATTCCCTGCAAGCAAATCACCAGGTCCGGCAACCATAGCGTTATCATTGCCGTATGCGGCTATGGGGAAGCCGAAAGTGACTCTTCCATTACTACCACCGGTCGGCTCAGCGGGTGAGGGTGTCGTCGTAGGGGTGGCTATCCGTCTTTCGGGTTGGCTAAGTGCTTGCGTGCAAGATCCGTCTGCGTTTGGAGGACGTGGCTGACCTGGTCGCTGATGAGGCCTGTCAACGGATATTTCTGGGGATCTCCTTTGGCCGACTTTGATCAGCGGGCTTCCAGACGGTGAAGCAGACGATGTGAGCAGGAAAAGGTCAAGTACATCGTTCTTGCTCTCCCTCGCACGATAAGTGTTCAAGTGTTATCGGGTCAGGCAGGAAGCCTTCGAGTAGTGGGCGGGGGCCCTATCTCAGAGGCTTCTCCGGTAAAAAGCAGTTGGGGGATGAAGATGTGCTGTTGTCTGCGGTTGGCGGGGACTACAACCTAGTAGTATTCACCCTAGGACGTTTTAGGATGTGCTTATAGCCGCATGGTCGATAGCGTGAGGAGACAAGGCGGTGCCCTGCGGTGCCGGATTTGCAGCAAAGGGGCAAGAGCAGTGGAGGACGAACGTTATGGCTTGGCCCGCTTGGGCCGTTCAAGCTTGCGAAGCTTCCAACACAACGCCAAAGTAAGTCCTTGCGCGTTTCAGCAGGCTACAGAGAGATCGAGAAGAAGAAGAATATGTACATAACGCGGCGGCTCAAGACATGACACCTCGTTTAAACATCTTCCTCCGTTTTCCGTATTGGGCTGCGTGCCGTCGGTTTTCCGAATGCGAAAGCCCCAGTGGGCATCAAGTTGCTTGCGAAAGGATTAGCCAGCTGCATGATGCACCAGAGTACATGTTATTGAAGGCATAACCTGGTGTACACGCAACAGGGCATCATGTAAATGCGTGTGCAGTGTTTTCCCTATTGCCATGAATGGTGTACGACACCACGCGCTATTGGACAGCTGAACATGCCTACTACTGGGCCCTCTTTGGGTCATGCACTCCCGTTCCTCCTCTGCGTCGGCAGGACAGCGGCTGGATATTTGCTGGAGGCGTAACCCAGATGACATCAGCCGTGCCCACCATTTCGTCATCGTGCACTATTTAATACCCACTCGGCATATCTCGAGGCATTTGCTCACAAGGAGGACTGGTTCTGCATTCGAGCGAATCAACGTCACCCGCCGGTCGACCTCACCAATTGGGTCGACACTACCCTCGTGCTCCCCAACTGGCACGCGCCTCAAGCATCCATGCGATTACGACCCCCATGAAACCTTACCACCACTGCCTCCTTAATTAGCCTGGGTTGCAAAGGGAATTAAAACCTAGCCGGCCCCTCGCTCCTTCGTGTTGTCCCCTTTATGTTGGTGCTGCGTTCAATCCTGGTGCATTACCAAATTACTTGCATATCCTCATTTACGCGACTTTCCTTTCACAGAAGCGGACTTATGCGCGCGCCCACAGAAAGAGGGTTCCAAATTGCGCCAAACCTGGAAGTTTCAACTCGCTTAGGATTAGTTATAACGGCCCATAGGTCTAAGTCAGACTTCGCGAGGGCATAAAGCCACTAAATGGAATTTGACGTGCGCGTGGCCTCAGCGCTGTACACATGCAGCTCCAACTTGTAACTGCCATAGGACTCCTAATGTCCTACAAGTCTACCCAGACTCTGCAAGGGCTTAAGGCAAAAGGTTTGAAAGCTTCTGACGTGTTCGTGGCCTATGCGCTGTACTTATGCTGCAGCAGTGCCATAACCTCGCTTCCCTCTAAGTCGTAACAAGGACAATTTCAACTTAAATACATAAAAAGTAATAGAGAAAGTAATGGCAGGTTTAATGGCAAGTCAGTCAAAGCCGTACTGCTGTATGCTTGTTGCTTGTTGCGGAGTTTCGCTTCTTGCGTAAGCAAAACGATAGGTTTTGTTGTTAATCGGCCATGTGTTAGGGTAGTTGCCACCGTTGTCGAGCAACGCCTCGGGTCGCTGACAATGAAGACAGGTCGCTGCTGAACCAATATGGGAAATCTATGCGGGAAGCCTGACAACAGCTCACCCAAAGCATCAGTTCCCGTACCACCAACCGTTGCTCAATCCGCTCCTGCTCCGGTCCCTAAGACGCCAGACGTAAGCCCAGCGACTACCCTTCCGACGCCCGCCCCAGCTAAGCCAGCGCCGCCACCGCAGCAGCAAGTCCCACCGCCGAAAGTTGTGGAGGCTATTCCAGCAGTTGCTGACGATAAGTCTCCAGGAAGGCGACGCTCTCAGGACCACGATAACGGGGTCAAGCACGAGGAGATTGAACTAATTAAGCAGAAGTCGGCAGAGCCCATGCCACCAGTTGGAACTGTACCTCCGGCTCCAAGCCCCAGGGCTGTGGTGGAGCCGGCAGCGGAGCGCGCGTCACCAAAGGTGCCAGCCCAACCTGCATCGAGTGGGCCGTTGCCCTCGCCACCTAGTGCTTCGGCAGCGCAATCTCGGCCGGGGTGAGGAATAGCTAATATAGCTAGCTGTCTCCGCGAAGAGCGGGGATCAACGGCACCCTGTTGGGATGCTTGCCCACTTCAGGTCCAAGCTGCGAACGGACGTGAAGCTCCGTGATGTTTATAAACTAGGAAAAACTCTGGGTACCGGAGGTGGGTCTAAGGTGAATCATCTCTGGTAAAATTGGCGAACAGAAACTTGATAGGTTCGGTTTGCAGGTTTCTCCGTCGTCAAGCTTGCTTCCGATCGCTTTACCGGCGTTGAATACGCATGCAAGATTATGGCGCTGCCTCCTGTCGGCCAGGAGGTCGGGGAGAATGAGAATACTCGGTAGGGTCGAGTTGCGGCTGGCATCGGGGGCTAGACAAGTCATCGTCGGCAGCCATAACTGTGCTTGCCTTGTATGTTTTTTCAGTGAGGATATTTTCAAGGAGATCGACCTTCTGTGCGGTATGAACCATGAAAACGTTATTTTCCTGAAAGAGTATTTCGAGGAGGGCAACAAGGTGAGAGGGCACTTCGCTTGGAACCCATACCTGCCATGCGTGCTGGCGCATGCTGTCATGAATCTTTATTTTCGTTTACTCCATGTGGCAGGTGTACCTGATCACCGAGCTCCTGACTGGTGGCGAGCTGCTGGAGGCTGTCCTCAAGCGGGGGAGTTACACGGAAGCGGAGGCGCGGTTGTGCTTCGTTCAGGTCCTCCGTGGTATTGAATATCTACACAGCAAGTAAGGCCCTGATAATGCGCTGTCGTCCTTGGATTCTGGCCCCGTGGGTTCTGTACACTGGGTCTGCATGCAAGCAAAGATGGGAAAATTATGGGATGTAACGACGCGCCGGCATTTAGGGATTGTGAAGGATGTGGGGCCAAGGTCTAGAGTTGCATGCTTAGCCATCAGGTTGTTGGGGTTTCCGTGCAGGTGTGACGTGACAATCTTGCCATTTCTATTGCAGGAACGTGGTGCACCGCGACCTGAAACTAGAGAATCTTTTGTTAGCGAAGCAGGACGACATCAGCCTGGTGAAAATTGCAGACTTCGGGCTTGCAAAGCATGCAGTGAATGGAATGCAAACGATCTGCGGCACGCCGCAGTATGTGGCGCCAGAGGTGATTGTGGGCGCCAAGGGACACGTGTACGGCCCAGGTGTGGACATGTGGAGCGCTGGCGTCGTCCTTTACATCCTGCTTGGAGGTTATCCGCCCTTCTGGAGTGACAGCGAGCCACAGCTGTTCGATATGATCCGCAAGGGCAAGTACAGCTTCGGAGACCCGGTTTGGAACAAGGTGTCGGAAAGGTGCGCAGGGAATCATGCGTGCCAAAAGGTGACTACGGCTAGGTCTGCCTTGTAGGAAAGCGGGTGTTTGACCCAAGTTAGGTTATGCTAATCCGGCATACATCGCATCGTTTTTTCCGCCTCCCAACAGCGCCAAGGATTTGATTCGGAAGCTGCTTGTGGTTGACCCCACGAAGCGACTCACTGCCACGGAGGCCCTGCAGCACCAATTCATTCTCGAAGGCAATTTCAACCCACCGTCAACGCCGAAAGGTACGTTTTCGCAGGTGGCTGAATGACTTTGTCACACATGGCCACTTACATCTAACATCTGAAAACTTCCATCCCACGTGGACAGGGCCACGATGAATGCACAATAGGAGCAGGAGCACGGACACCAAAATTCACGGAGCACGGGTCCTGGAAAGCGCTGAAATACAAAGCAATGGCCGGCATATATGCGTAATAAATAGGCCTGGAAAAGGGGAGCGCGCATGACAGCGTACGAGAAGTCGTAACGTCAAGGGTTAGCCAGCTAGTCGGACACTGCGATTTGGCTGCGAACGGTAAATTGTTGGAGATGAGCCTAGCTAATTGCGCAGATAAGGTGTGCAACGTGTCTGCTTGGGGTTTTACTCTTCTGTGGTCTGTGTGGTACACAGTTACATGGCCGCATAGAGAGCGTGGGCTGCGTGGTGATGTCAATTCGCTTACTGATTTCTGACCTCGTGGCGTCGGAATTGTTCAAGTACAATTTGTTTGATGAAGTTCTTGAACATGGCGTGGGCGCTTGTATAGCCCCGACAAACCCTAGCGATACGTGGAAATTAAATTGCTATCGACCAACTTTCCGACAAACTCTCCCATCCAACCATTGTCAGACCAAGCAGCCCTTTTATCGTGGCGCATCGCAAATATACAGCAAACGTTCAAACGTGCTTGCGCACAGCATCCGATTCATCAACAGCGTCACAATATCCGCATATCCCAAGGAAAACTCTTTCCAGCAGTCGCCAGCTCCAGATCACCGGGCACGGCCGCGTCCGCGCCCACGTCCACGCCCACGACCTCTCCCGACAGCTGCATGTGTTGGAAGATGTCGGATGCGTTAGGGTGCATCGTGCCGGAGCCGACAGCCAATAGGGTGCACATGGGCCTTGCCATAGCACCGACTTACGCAATGATCTCTTACCTGTCCGGACCTTTGTCGGCCGTTGCTTTGGCTTGTCGATGTCAACAAGGAGGGTGTCCAGGTTCAGACTGTCCGGCAAAATGTAGTACCGAATGTTGTTCCCCCGGACGCTAAGGTGGTCCATGCTGACAGGGTTTTTTCCGCGTGGAGTTAACTTCACAGCTTTGAGGTGTGTGTTCATAGCGATGTCTACACCTGCAGGTTGGGCAGGCGGCGCCAAACACAGCAATGCGTCCTCACATATTACCCAACACCCCATCCATATGAAGTTTACTTCAGCTAATCCTTTCCGGTTATATGCAAAGCGCAGGCGCACACTAGCTCACGCGCACCTGCAATCGTCCCTTGGATAACAGTTCCATTCTTAAGCTCAATTTGAACTGTCTCGTTCGCCAGCTTCATTAGAAAACTGTGGAGGCCAAGCTGTAGTCAACGACACCGAACCGCATGCAACGTTCCAGCGCAGACCTCTAAAGCTCTGCTTACCGCACAAGCTTCACCATCTTCTCAGGCGGGCCTTCACGGCCCAAACGCTAATACCGCCGCCTGCTGGGCTTTTCGGGAAGCGCACACTGAGATCGCTAACTACTCCCCTAGTTTGGGGTATTCAGGTCACGTCAACAATTGAAATGAAGCAGTTTGCATTCACACGTAAGACTCAATATAGGATGCGCGTTTCAAGTCCGTCAAGTCTGCGGAAGCAAATAAATTGTACGACGCTTTGTTGAGGCTTTGGTATGCTGTAACTTCGGTATCTGAAATTATCAGACCTGACATCCATATATCCGCAGGCTAGCTAGGATGCATCCCTGGTCAGCCAAGGCCTTTGGGGGCCTTACGTCGAAGCCTCTTTTCCTTGCGGTTCTAAGTCATGGAACCTGCATCACCCCTGACACAGTTGGATAGATAGGGTGGGTTCCATTTTCTTGGGTCGCGTCCACAATTATCAGGCCCTTAATCCTTAGCCGTGGTCGTTGGGGCCATTTGTGCTTGCTGGAGCTCGAAAGCACCTAGTAAACAAGGAAGACCAGACCTGCACGAACGTTTGACCGTATTCTTGTCGCTGGCTGACCATTCGCACTTCTTCCCACACCAACATGTCACTTTGCGTAAGAACGGCCGCGGCCTAGCTGCTATGCCCTGGTTCTCCGCAAATGTGCACACTGTGGGGTTAGGATCTGGCCTGACGGCGACAATCGAAGCAGCACCAGCACGTGCTACCTCGGCCTGAGCCCAAGCTCAGCTGAAGGTGACGCAGCGCTGGCCGAGTGAAAATGGAGGATCTCGCAACTCGTTGCCTCAAATATGGAGACGTAATCTACTTAAAAACCGATGGCAAGCAAGCCTTCGTAAGCGCGCAAGACCGTTCTACACCCCAGGTACGGTGGCATGCTACACTTGCTACCTTGCGGCTCATGAGCCTCCTGGCTCGTCTGGGCTGCACGCGTCCTTACGAGTCTAGCTTGAAACACCATCATTATCATCGCTACCTTTCAGTGGCTTTGCTTTGTGATGAAAGTACCTGCCCTGGAGATTTAGAATTCACCTCCATGGAATGTATGGCCTGCAACCCTTCACCACAGCGCCCTCGTATCGTGCCCCGTCATTATTCACCGGAACGATAAGCCACCAGGCCACCGTTCGAAATCATGCAATTGAGCTCCACTGTGCAGCGCATGCGGGGAAATATAGTATCCCTTGCCATTGAAATCCCCTTGCGGCGTTAGGGGAATGCGCTTGAAGGCTTCCACCGTGTGTTGTGGATAGATCCACTTGGCTTGGGTATTTGGTGGACGCATGCTAGCATGTCCCAGCCAAGCACACCCTCCGGGGGCAGTGTGCACCCCACGGGGCAGCGGCAGTCCATTGAAAGCTTCACTGCGGCCGCGAGGCGGAATGGAAGCAGCTATACCGCATGCTAAACGCTACTGCTTGGTCGTTCTGTGTCCATCCCCGGGTGTTAGTCGGTCTGTCTGTCTGCCCATTGGTGTTTGGTCGCTGCTCGGTGACACCAGCACCCCGTCAGGCGCATCAGGTGCAATACGGCATTACATGACGTGACGCGACACGATGTGGGGATGCTGTGATGTGACACGTGGCAATAACACTACTACTAATTGTCACATGGGAAGCTTGTGATCTTCCATTAATCTTTTGCCTCCCCCTGATAATCAACAAGACCGGGCAGGGTGATCCAATTTACCAATGCTTATTTCCTGTCCAATATTTTTCTTTTGTGGTTTGGTGTGGCACGAACCGCATGGGTGACGATATGCCACAATGCATTACTGGTCATTTCCTCCCTTTAGAACCACAACCACGATCACAACCACGATTACGGATGGACAGGTGGAATTGAGTTACTGTGGTAGCGGGAAGGTGGCAGTGTCAGGAGGCATTTGGACGGCCCTACCTGCTGCGAGCCGTTCTGTCCGCCTTGGCAGGGGCTGCCCGTGGCTCTCTGAATTGACAGCCTCTGCCTCTGAAACTAATCCGAACCTAATCAATGCACCTTCCTCCCATCGTTTGCACATCTGAGCATGTCTTCTCAACCCCCAAACACACACAAACAAACAAATAAACACAACGACCCGGGTCAGATGAGTGTATGCAATTCCCCTCTCCCCACTGCCCCCTTCCCCTCCAACTTTTCTCCAGGTTCGTACAGAGGAGTTGGCGGATGGGGCGGACAGCCCTCCGGACCTGAAGGATTGCCTATTTGAGGTTCGTTTGTGGTGGGGGGAGAGGGTGAAAGAGCGGAGGGGTAACGGGATCGGTGGGCATTGTTGCTCCACAGTGGTGGTGGGCCACATAGTGGTGATGAGCATCAGGGTGGTGGTAAAATAGAGGTCAGTAGCCGTGTTGAAGAAGCTGAGGAACTTAGAGAGGTACCATGTGTGTCTGTATATATATGTGTGTGTATAGGTCGGCGGGTGTTGACAGGCTCATTTGGCCATTCGGCCCCATTCAGCAGATTAGTGATAAGTGGTCCGGGTGATAAAATGGTGTTTTCTGCGGTTGATGATCGGCAAGCGAGCTGCCAGCTGCCGGCCGCAAGCCACGTACAACCTACTGCTACTAGTGCCAAACCAACTGCTAATCCTCTCATTGCCGCTTCTGCTGCTGCTGCTGCACTGCAACCGCTCCCTCCCCTCCTGATGTGTGTGTGTGTGCCTAGGTCACCAAAAAGTACCAGTACACTCAGAAGAAGAGCCTCGTTCTAGAACTTACTCGGAATGGGGTGGTACCCGAGGAGGCCCTGGCCTCGGATTCGGTCAGGTAGGGGGGCTGAAGGCGGGGGGAGGGGTAAGGGGGGGGGCGGGGGGTAACGGGTAACGGGAGATTGATTGAGGGGGGTGGATGGGGGATTTGGGAGCCCGAGGGGGATCTTTGCGGGAAAGTCAAGCTATTGGCAGATTGGGGGTTATTGGGAAGTTATATTGGAAGGGGGATTCCCAGAGGGCGGCCCCTGCTGAAGGCTGAAGGCGCAATACACGAGGACTAGGGGAAAAAGGGCGTCAGAGGTGAGGGTGGGAAATGTTTAAAATGTGCGTGTATGGGGGTGTTAGGGGAGGATACTTTTACAATACCATTATGGACACTGAAGCTTTCTATCGTGGTTTACTTTCGCACGGACCACGCCTTCACAAACACACACACACGCACATATGCGCACAAACCGCTTCCCTCGCACGAGCTTCCTCTCATGCTATCTCACACTGGGCAGCTTGGGCTCTTGTAAGCCCCATTTCCACCCCACCCCTCCCATTTCCACCCCATTTTTGGACGCCGGCAATAACATCCTGGACTTTGCATGCAACCGCACCCATCCCCCACTCCCCACCCACCCCACCTCCCCTTACAGCGGCTTTGGTGAAGTGTTATCCGCCACTATTGCGGAGCCCAAGCTCCGACAGAAACTCATACTTCTGTTCGACGCCTATCAGCGAGAGCAGCGGACCAACCGCAATGAGTTCCGACAGGTGGTTGGAGAGTCCGTACTGTACGGTCAGGTACGACAGTTGGATGGGCTACGGGGCGGGGGCCTTGTTGGGTGGTTGTAGGTAATCGGTTGTGCAGGGGTGGGGTGACGCCCGTGGCTGCATCCCCGGGCTCCTTCTCGTCTCCTGGCTCTCCTCTTCCCCTTTGAAAACACCCCTCAAAATCAAACCAAAAGCTCTCCCAAACCCCCAAAACACACATACACACACACGCATACATACATGCACAGGTGATCCAGCTCCGCCACGTGCCCACCGGCAAGTTCGTGACCATTAAGCGCACCGCAGCTGATGTGGAGCGGGGCGCCCTCAAGGTGGTGTTGGAGGAGGGGGGCCAGGAGGGCTCCTGGTTCCAGGTGTTCTCCGGATACCGCACCAAGCCCGAGGGCGGCAAGCTGATGCCGGGGGAGGTGGTGGCGTTCAAGGGACTCGCGTTCAGCGGCAACGGACTGCACGTGTCGGCCGGGGATGTGCGGGATCCAGCCATGCTGCCCGTGGACAGACACCCGTACGTCACAGCGTTCAAGGAGGTACGGGATGTTGGGTTTTGAGAGTGTAGAATAAAAGGCCACGGATGTACGGCTATTGTACGGGACATCATCCATAGATATACGGCGGGGCGGGAAAGTATATAGCTTGGTAAGGGGTTGCGCGGGGCAAGGTCGGGTGCTCTAGAGCTGTTTCATTTCGCGGGGTAAGTGGGGAGGTTGGGGATGTTAGGGTCCCAGGCTCAAATGACGGCAGGCCTAGGTGGCAAAGTCAACCAGATCACTCTCCCCTGCGGGCTGCGACATAAGAATAACTTCTTTCTTTCCACATTTTCCATGGATCCATCCTCGCTCCGAAACCAACCCACCCACCCGCCCTCCTCCATAGTTTACCCGACCCTGCATTGGGATTGTGTCCCATCTCACTTTCCGTCCGCCCACCTCAACCTCCCCCCGCCCTCCTCCCTTTCTCTCGACCTCCTCCACCCTGACATTGCCCCCACAGGTCTGCGCTTCCCCCGACGTGACGTCCTTCAAGGTGATCCCCTTCAGCATGCACGAGCGCGTGTTCCCGGGACTCAAGGACCGACTATGTGGCCTGAACGCCGTGTCGATACAGGCGGGTCTGGTCTGGGGGAAGGAGGGGGGAGGGGATTAGGGGGGTGCGGCTGGAGAGGGTTTCGGAAAGGTGGGGCTGGTGAGGTGTGTAGAATAGGGCGAGGTGTACATTCACATGCACACTCACTTTCACTTACATACTCATGTGCAATACTCGACCTGCTCCAGCGCTCTCTTTCCCTCCTGCCACATACACCTGGGAACACCCAACCACCGAATCCCTGACCTCCCTACCCGACTTGAACCCATTCCCATTCCCCATTCCCATTCCCTTCCTCACCCCGCTCAATTCCCAGCTTCCCCAGTCATCATCATCCTTCCTTATCCCCAACGCCCTTTTGCAACATGTCCGTCCCCCTTTTCGGCCCCCTTCCTCTGTTCAGGATCTCGTGGCTAACACCGTATATATCAACTTCCTCGGCGCCATCAATGACAAGTTCCTGTACTTCCAGAACCCCCTCACCCGACCCGAACCCAACCGCATTGGCGGACCGGACTGCTGGAGGCTGGAGCTGGTGGCGGAGGGGGTGAGACATGAGACAGGGGACATGCGGGGGGCATGAAAGGGGGGAAAGACGGTCATATGGAAAGGTGGTGGGAGGGAGGATCTAGGGGGAAGGTCAACCTAGATAGGTTCACCGTAGGCGGGGATTGGGGTACAGGGGGACTCCTTGGCCCAGTTCCCGTTTTACCTCTCCCGCTTCTGCTAACCTAACCCTGCCGCCTGCCGTCACTTTCGCACTTGGAGTTGGGGTCTTGTTGAGACGGTACCCGTGACCTCCGCACACTCACGCACCCACGTGGCTGTCTCTGACTTCAACCCCCCATCTTGTCGAGGTACCTCTCCTTCCCACCCATACCCATTCATCCTTGTTTACCTACCTGTCTCGGCCTCCGTGTCCTCGCTCCCTCGCCTCCCGTACATCCCGTTTCATGACAGGGATTTTGGAGCGGCATGCCGCTGAGTCACGGCTGCACCATCCGCATTCGCCACCTGGCCACCGGCACATACCTGGCGGCACTCTCCAGCAAGGCCAAGGAGGCGGCCAGGGCGTGGAGGGCCAGGAAGGCGGCCTTGGCGACTGGTCCCGGAGGTGCAGGGGGGGGTGGGCCAGGTGGTGAGGGCGCGCCTGCCGGCGCTGGTGGCGAGTTCGGCGGCGGAGCCGGCGCCGCAGCCGCGGCTGCCGCTGTCAGCGGCGGTGGCGGGGGGGAGATGCAGAACGTGCTTCACAGCGCGGACGAGGACGTCTTGTACGATGAGGCGTTCCGGTTGGTGCTGACGAAGCGGTACGGTGTGCCAGACACGCTGTGGGAGCTGCACACGTTTACCAAGGAGGAGATGGTGCGTTTGCGCGGGTGCCTTCTTCCGTTAAACCGTGAAACCGAAACTATGTGTGTGTGCATGTCGCGGGGACCCGCTCCGTGCATTGCTGTTCTGTGCTCTTAGAAGGACACAGTGCATAGAGGAGCCGAGCAGAGGGGCAGCAGCAGTAGCAACAGCAGCTAGTAACGGCTGAAGCTGCAACCGTAACGGCCTGCATTTCATCGGGCATCAGGAAAGCCCCCTTCAGTTGGTAGTGTATGTATGTCCAGCTTTGCTACATACCAGCCATCCAACAACCTGATCTACCCACTCACTTTTCATCCTCCCCCACCCGTCCTCCTTCTCCCTTGACTTCCCTTCCCCCTTCTCCCCCTTCTCCCCCCTCCTTCTTCTTCTTCTTCTTCTTCTTCTTCCTCTTCCCCCAGCTTGGCGCCAAGGTGTATGCCTTCTTCAAGCATGTGACTACCCAGTTCTGGCTTAGTGGTGCCGGGCCCCCCATACCCGCCCAGCCCAGCGAGGATCCGGATGACCCCCAGGTCCGTAGAGCTAGTAGTAGTAGTGGTGGTGGCGGTGGTAGTGGCGGCGATAATGGTGGTATCGGTGGTGATGGTGATGGTTGTGAAGATAACGAAGGGTATGGAGAGAGCGATCCGGTTGATTCAGTTGATCCTATTGATTTAATTAATCCTGTTGGTGATGGTGATGGTTTTCGTGATGGTGATGATGGTGGTGGTGCTACTGCCGCAGCCGGCAGCAGCAGCAGTAGCAGGGGCCGCCAACGCGGTCCGGCATCCTCCCGGGGCAGTTCGCCAGGACAGGGATCCGAATTGGAATTCATTACTATTGCTAGTACGGCTGCTGGTACTGTTAGTACGGCAAATGTTGCGGCCACTAGCACCATTATTGGTCGTGGTATTGGTAGTGGTCGTGGTGGTGGTGGTGGTGTTTTCGGACTGGAAAGTCCGGGATTACCGCCGGGTCGTTGGGCATCAGGCCGAGTTCGCCGCGACAACACCACAGCAGCAGCAGCAGCAGCTGGCAGTGCGGCCGCTTCGGGCTTCGGTGTCAACGACGGTGGTGCGGTTGATCTTGGTGGTGGTGGTGATGCTGGTGGTGGTGGTGACGCCAAAGGAGGAGCAGGAAGGCGGGAGCTCGCTGTGCCGGGCGCGGCTGTGTCCGAGGTGGGGGCAGGGGTGGGGGATGGGGGCCGCGGGGGCGGTACACACCCCCTCCCCGGCCCCCTAACCCCCGCCCCTGCTGTCCCAGGGTACAGGGGGGGATAGGGGGCGGGGAGGGGAGGGTCTCCGTAACAGGGGGGAGAGTTACAGGGAGGTCCCACTCCCCGTATACCGCCTCACATGCACCTCATAACAATCACCCACCACCCCACCTTGGTAGCCATGCAGGTATAGCACCTTCTGGCTCGGCATCTCGACAGCTTCGTTGTCCCCGGGGCCCTATATGCCCTCGCACTGGCAGCCCAACCCCCTTCCTGTTCCCCTGCTCCCGTCCACCTCCTTCCACCCCTGAACCCCCCTCCCTACTTCACTTCTCAAACGTCCACACACACAGGAGGAGCAGATGTATCCGGTGGTTCATCCGGAGAAGCTGGAGCGCAACGTCATGTTGGTGGTCAAGGTGCCGGAGGAATTCACATCAAAGGTGTGTGTGTGTGTGTGTGTGGGAAGCCGGTAGGCGGCAGGGCGGGTGACTTCCAGTTGCAAAGGTATTTTCGACGATCTGTCTATCAGTCCATGTTTCTCTTTCTCGTTGGCGCCTTCCCTTGTAAGGCTTTGTTGGGACCCCCTTGGCAACAGATGGCGTCAGCTGCTGCAAACCTTCCCAGTAACACAACGCAGTTGACAACCCCCCACCCCTTTCGCACATCCTCCTGTCCCTGGTTTTCTTGTCTTGCCCTGCATTCTACCCAGCCTAACAAGGTTTTCCCTCCTGCCTTACTCCCTGCCGTACACCCCCGAGCTCCTTTCCCCCCTTCATTGATGTCCTGTCACCCCTTTGTGCACCTGCCCCTCTCCCCCGCATGTTTTCCCTTCCCCTAGATTTCCGACTTGTCCCGGGTGATGTCCCAGCTGAAGGACTTGCGGCACGTGCTGAACAAGGAGAAGATACCGCCCGAGCAGGAGCTTCTGGAGCTGGTGGCAAAGGGGCAGGAGGCGGAGGTGGGCACGGAAGAGGGGGGGAATGTGGGCGGAAGGGGGAAAGGAGGGTCACCGCGGTGTGTGGTGTGTATATATATACACTTGTGTGCGTTCGTATGTGCAAGCGTTATTGTTGGATTGAAAACTTTGCACATCAGGAAAAATGCAGAGCGAGCGCATAATTTCTGTACTAATGCCGCATTGCAAGCTTAGAACGTGCGTACGTGTATTCGGCGTGTTGACGTGTGTGTATGTGTGTGTTACACCTGGAGCTGCGTTGCTCTCCAACCTCCAAGCTTACTTACCTTTCCCCTCCAATTTCCTTCGCTCCCTCGCTTCCCATAATCTCCCCTCCCCTCCCTGCCAGGCTCTCGCCCGCATGGCCGACACTCAGTACCCTGACAAGTTCCGTCAGCGCTACCCCGCCCTCAACCGCTCCCTCAAGGACCTGGTGCGCTGGATGGACAAGAACACGTGGAGCGAGGCGGCGGACGCGGCGTCACCCCACCTCGAGTATCAGGTACGGGGAGGCGCCGGGGAAGGTTGAAAACGTGGGGGTATATGTGCAGGCTTGGGCGTGTGGAGAGTCCGATGCGGCTGTATTTGCTGTGTTACCAGCAGCCCAGTACACGATGGAACACAGAGGGGGGGTGTTCCACCATCAGCGCAGTTTCGGGAGTGGACACGGTCAGGGGGCCCCCCTTGTTGGCTCTGTGGACTGCAGCCGCTGTCCTCATCTCGTGACGTGTGTGGTGTCCACCACACATATCCACCATACTCTCCCCCTCTGTCCTCTCCCCGTTTTCTTCCTTCCTTCAGGCGCTGCTTCGGGAGTTGGGCTTGATTGACTTGTTGGTGCAGTACATGGATGCGGCCCGTGTACGGCTGTTTGCCACCAGTGGCAAGCTGAGGGGCACTCGGCTGGGTGGCTGGGTGGTGGAGAGCGGGAAACGCTGCCACAGGTGTGTGTGCTGGTGGGGGATTGGAGGTCAGGGGCCCCAAGGGGTGAAACGGTGTCGGAGTTTGAAGGTGGCTGGAGAGGGGGCTGGGTGGCGGGTAGATGAACGGAATGTGAACAAGTGAAAACGTGCGTGCGAGGGGCAATGGTTGGGCAGAGGTGGCGCATGAGCGAGTTGCTAGGTGGTGTGTGGGGGAAGCCTGGTGTGTGGGTAGGTGGCTAGCCTTAGGCCTGCGGGGAAACGAATGACTGCGTTGGGGCGAACGGTCTCCTCCTCTTCATGCAGACATCCTCTTGAAGGCTGCTTGAACGAACATTCCTAGCGTTTGTACCCTATTCCCGCAACACACACACACACACACACACGTGCGGCCGCCACCCCCCACCCCCCAACCCCCCACAGGATCCTTCAGCTGTGTTGTCAGGGTAACGAGCTGAACCAGGCCTACCTGTCCAAGTACGCCGCCATGGTCATGTCCCACCTGTCCTCCCCCCTGACCGCCCCTGACACCCTGGCGGCCATGTACGAGGACAACATGGCGCAGATGCAGACCGTGTCACCCGCCATCGTGGCGGCCAGTGTGCAGCTGATCCCAA